CACTAATGTCAGTAACAAGGCTACTGGGGGAGTCTTAGCATTTTCCTGATGAATGATGAATTCGCGAACCAAGTTTTCTTCATTGCAGGAGAAATGAGAAATATAGTCGACGGAAAAATTTTGTAACCAACTTGTATATTAAAAGGCGATTAATACACTAGTTGGTTAAATAACTATATTCCAATATATATCTACATATAAGAGACTTATTTCATAGGAATAGATGTATTTCGTTGGTATACAGGGTGTTCCTCAAAGACATGCTAAAATTCAAGGAGGTGATTCTTCAACGCATTTCAAGAAAAAACTTCCCACTAACGTATGTCCTAAAAGTCTTAACTTTTGAGATACAGTGTTCTAAAGTTTTGAAAAAAAAATCAGTTTTTCAATAACTGGAATAATATTGTAGTCATCTTTATGAAAGTTGGTACATATCTTCTATGCATCAATACCAATTTTCCTTGTCTACCAGTGGCGCAGTGGGGATATGATTAATTATATTATACTTGAAAGTGAGCAACGAAGGAATATTTCCAAATTTAATAAAAAGATTCTCCGATTTCGAGAAAAAGCGAGATCAAACTTCAAATTTTGATGTAAATGCTAAGCTTGAGTACTCCATTCAGGTCAGCTATTACTGGATACCCACAGTATGTAACATTTTGAAATTTTTGTACCGTTACAGTCACATAGGAGAATGAATTATGCCATCAGGAAAGGCAATATAGGGTGGACAAAAAAATAATCTATGTATATGTTCAACTTTAATACCCTGTATCTCAAAAGTTATGACGATTCCGACATACGTTCAAATGAAGTTTTATTCTTGAAATGGGTCCAAGAATCGCCCCCTTGAATATTAGCATGTCATTAAGGAGCACCCTGTATATGTACATACCAACTTGATATCGACCTCCATTGAGGTCCTTCATCCTTATCGTTCAATATTTCGAGAAGAATAAATTTTCTAATCAATTTATCATACCCTTTTACCCACTCGAGGAGGCGCTATGCACTCTCATACAAAAATAAAAGACAGAGAAAGATATATGGATGTTGTGGAGGAAGGAAGATGCGATGATCCTTTATCCAAGCGAAAAACACATTCTTGTCTTGTCTGGCAAAACATGTGATTTGCTGCAAAATCGTTTGTGGTTATGTTTGATTGTCACTGCTTGTCTAGTGTCTGAACACTAATATACAAAAAACGTCAAAACAGCAGTGTCAAGTACATTTAGGAACTCTAGCATAGTCGAGCCTGACGAATGTACGGAGAGGCTCAGCATCATATTTACATGGTGTCCCAAAACATCGTAAGTCATGAGTCGTAGTCTTAAGAAATGAAACATTGATTCATGCATGAATCCTAAGAAACACTCCATCGCTCCTAATCAAATAGATAATCTAGGTTTGTAATCAGAAAATGAATATAATCAAATATTAATAAAGGTACAGGGTGATTCACCATAAATGTCCCCCCCTCTAGCTCACTTATTTTTGAACCGTTTTAAAAATTTGAAAGATAATCTGAAATGATTTTTCAGAAATTTTTTTCCCGTTGCATCAGAAAATACAGGGTGCTCGGAACAAACGATCTACAGAGTACTAATTGATTTTTTTAAATGGAACACCCTGTATTTTATTGTATTTTTAAATTCTTCCTGAAGAGCTGATTTCATCAATGTATCACACTTGGGGTTTAGCGGGAATGATTACAGAGATATAGGGTGTTTAAAATCGAGATTTTCCAACTTTAGGATTTTTTTGTGCCGAAACTATTCATTATTGGTCAAAACGGCTCCTATGTTCCCATCTCAACTTTTGATTTACTATCTAGTGAAATTTAATTGGAACATTTACAGGGTGGTTCAAGATTCAGAATTCTGGTCACCCTGTATCTGTTCAAATTATTAAATGTCAGTAGATAGTAAATCAAAAGTTGAGATACGGACATGAAAACCGCGTGACCGATAATGAATAGTTTCGTCACAAAAAAATCCTAAAGTTGAAAATCTCGATTTTGAACACCCTATATCTCTGTAATCAGTCCCGCTAGACCCCAAGTGTGATACATTGATCAAATCAGCTCTCCAGGGAGAATCTAAAAATACAATGAAAAATAGGGTGTTTCATTTGAAAAAATCAAATAGTACCCTGTAGATCGTTTGTTCCGAGCACCCTGTATTTTCTGATCTAGCGGAAAAAAACTTTATCGAAAATCATTCAAGATGATATTTCAAATTATAAAATCGGTTCAAAAATAACTGAGCTAGAGGGGGGGACATTTATGGTGAATCACCCTGTACCTACTGAACTTGAAAAATAAATATGGAAATAGGCATTAACATGGATTTACCTGTTTTGTCCAAACCCAATAATCCATTTAAGGGTTTTGTTATGGGTACCTATTTTCGATGATCATATAATAATTTGATTCAAATGGCCTGTTTCTGGTAATCCATTGATCCATTGTCGATTATATTGTAGGTACCTGGTTTTAAATAAGAGGCATACACAAAATAGAATTTCATGAGTATTGAGTGACTATCGAAGGAATGATATAGTTATTGATGTTGTGAATTTCGTTATATTGTTGTTGGAATTGTATCGGTGCAGTATTTGTTTGATCTCTGTGATTATTTCAAATATGTCTTATCATTGTCATGCTCCTGAGTGCAAAAGTGTTAGTGGAGATCCTGGAATAAGTTTATTTCGTTTCCCCAAAGAGGAAGAAAGGTATGCATCGTGATTTTGAAATTCCGTCATTGTATTGCTAACTCAATTTTCGAATAAATCTATGTTGATATTTTGATAATATAATGATAATGACAGTAGAGTAAACATGTACAGAGTGTCTGTTTGAGTTCAAACCATATAGAAAACTTTTTTGTTATTAATTTCATCAAATTTTTTCAGTCGTTTACGAGGTAGAAGTATTTCAAAAAAATATGAATTACTAGAGACCTAAATATACTGGTTTCGATACTTTTGTACTCAATGCAATAAAACTCAAAGGAGATTTATTGTACTTGAAATATAGAGGCTGTATGATCTGCATAGATGAAATGTCTATAAAATCTCATCTATTTTATGATATCGGGAGATATGAGATTATTGGATTTCATGTTTCCAGTTCGTAATCAAAAACTTGCTACTCATGCTTTGGTGTTGATGGTAAAAGGCATAAATTCGAATTGGAAGAACAGATCCAGTTCCAGGTTTGAAAGAAATCCTACATAAATATATCACAGAGCTCAACAATATTGGATTGAATGTAATGAGGGTGTTTTCTCATCAAGGGACGAATTATTTCAAATTAGTCAAAGAATTAGGAATAACTGTTGAGAAGCCATACCTTTTTGTAGGCTATTCAAAAATTTGTTACATGTTTGATCCACCACATTTATTGAAGTCTACGCGAAATAACTTTTTCTCCTATAACCTATCATTTGGTGAAGCTTTATGAAATGGATACGATAAAAAATATTGTTTAGCTCCAAAATTAACCAGTGCTCCCATACATTTTTCAAACTTTCAAAAAACGAACGTACGCCTAGCAGCTCAGGTATTCAGTAATTCTGTGGTTGTAGCTATGCGTCCATACACCTCGGTCAACTTCCATTGTCATTTTCAGGTACAGCTACATTTATGGGGATTTATCAACTCTTCTATGTGCTCACCTCAAGTTCTTTCAGAGATTGTAAACCGTTTAATTTTTTAAAATTCCCTTTTTTAAAGAAATGGAGAATTAATTCAAAAATTTCAAACTCACGAATTCAAAAGAGAGAGATGTTACCAATTCCATGAAATTCATTTTTGGTTGGCGATTAACAATTGCAGCTTTCTTAGAGATGTGGAAGGACCTCAAATCTTGAAACAAACATCATGTTTTCACTCGAAACCTCAGTCAGGATTGCCTTGAAAACAATTTCGGAAAAGTTAGGAATACTTGTGGAAATTCGAAAAATCCCACTCCTATACAGTTTTCGAGAGCATTCAAGAGGTTATTTGGTGTTCAGTATCTACAAAGCTCGGAAGTTTCAAACTATTTGGAAGATTTTCATATGAAATATTGTCCACAATTCCAACAGTACCCTTGAAGAATTGTGAATTTCTTTTAAATGCTTAAAAGTCGTACTCTCCTTTGAAAATAGACACAAATGATTATTCAGACTTATCCACCGCCGAAGGCAATTGTCTTACATATGTGGCGGGGTACCTGATGAGAAAATACTTAAAAAGAAGCATCTTCTAAAAGTACACTAGATCAAACTAATATTTATTCTCAATTCAAAGCACACGAAAATAAGAATTGAGACATAAATCATATTTGATAAAAGGTCAGTTGAAATTTATGGCAACTATTCGCACTTTTCGATATTTTTTGTTGATTGTTTTCTCTTGGGAATTAGAATAAAAATAATGTCCTAGTATGTGAGTCGTATGTTTGTGGACTAAGATTGTTCCTCGTACATTACTCTCCAGTTGACATTCGGACACAGATCAACAAGTTCTCGCGCAGTCGATGCGCACTGGAAAAAAAAATAAAACGTCTGTTTTCTGCCCAGATTTATTGTCCAAACCAGAAAAACTAATTTCAAATCAGCTGAAAATCATTATAAACAATGATGAAAAAATAAAACTATAGCTATATCAATATTAGCTTATTATTTTGTGTAATATTGTACAAAAAACTGATAGTAGGTAGGTTCCTGAACTCTGTAGAGCGAATTCTACTTCTTATTTACAAATATGTATTCAAATTTTACCCTTGCTAGACCATGTTACCAGATTCTGTCTGTAAAATAGTAATGATTAAAATATTCGGTCAGGGACCTTCAGCACAAAGTCCAGGGTACCAATTTTAATCAGGGTTTGTCAAACGACTGGAAAGAGGTTGTTAATACTGACATTTAACAGGGTGCTGTGGTCTTGAGTTGGTCTCACTGTATGATTACTCCATAATTGATTAATTCAATATGATCATTTTTATTTTTCAGAATCGAACACTTATATCCTGATGCATTAGATGCCTTGCCTTATAATATCTTTGGGTTTATTGAACCAAAGATAGTTATAATCACAACCCCAAATGCTGATTTCAATGTTCTGTTTTCCTCAGACACCAAGAGAATGAGGCATTATGATCACAAGTTTGAATGGACCAGGGAGCAATTTAGTCAATGGTATGTTAATAGTGATTTAAGATTATTACTCAACCATTAAATATTCAAAAATTAAATAGATCTGAAGAAAATATTAGGGGGAAGATGACGTTGGTAAATACTTTTCACTTTAGTAAACAAAATTAACGGCTTAAAACTACAGCCGTTGGCTCATTGTGTTCATTGTCATGCATCTGGCTTAGGTGGGCAGTTTTTTTTTTAACTTCATGCTGTATAGCAGTGGTAGCCAAAATATTCAATGACTGGGCTGCTCTGATAATTTTGAAATGAAAAGTAGACGTAAACATCTCAAGATAACCTGAATGAAATAATGCATTGTACTTATTTATTGTATCTATTAACTATTAATATCCACCGATTAGCGACCACTGCTGAATGGCATCTTCACAAAGTTTGTCTGCCTTTTGTTTCGTGGTCTGTATGCCTTGATTTTTTGTAGTGGTTAGAAATTTAATCACTATTGGCTAATTCAGCCTCACCTATTGCTTATCAGATGTTGCACGTAGCTACTAAGAGTTAGTAAAGTATACAAGTTGTAATATACATTGTCACAGTAGCAAGTACGGCAGTAGAAACATAAAAAAATGTTAGAACATAATCACCGACACTTACTGACTAGAGTTTACAGTGAGGGTTTTTACATGCCTAGTACATGAACTAATATAAAGTATTGGAGTGTTTACCGACTACCCATGAAATATAACCATGTTCCACACCTTCTTAGTACTTCCTTCTTACTTACTTTTACTACCTTCTTAGTAAGTATTAATATGTATTTGATATCAACTCTTTCAAGTTAATCCGGTATACCGTAATTTAATGTAGATATTGTGCTTAATTTCCGAAAATGGAGGTTTATCGTACCTGTCCACAGGTAACTAATCCTTCAGGTTGGGAAAGTAAAATTTATAAAAGTTAAGCAAGCCAACGTTAGTTTAGTTCATTGTACCAGTATATCACCTGACGAAGCTACTGTGGTAGCGAACATGTCGTGTGTTCGAGAATTTTGTGGAAATCTTATCGTTTGTGAAGTTTTTACATTCTTCATGGTTAGTATACAGAGTGTCTCGCAATTATCGTGCAATACTTCACCAGCAGATTTTACGATCAAAAGTAGAAAAAAAAGTTCCTATAAACATAGGTCGAACAATGTTTAATAAGCAAGCTACAGCCCCCTGAATGTGGTACTCTGAAGATGGTTTTTATTTCATATCTAAAAAAAAAATTGTTCTATCCGTCATTCGGTTGCCCCCTTACGAGCAACCCCCAGAAGTCTTCGAGAGTCTTGTGCGAGCAAGGAATGACGGGGGCCTTACCTTTTTACGTGTGATCCCAAACACTTTCTTGGGCCATCAGAAAAATTTCTGCAGTCGACAGGACTCGAACCCACGACCGGCAAGCGAATGCGGATTAGAATATGGACACTCTGTCCGCACGGCTACCTGGCCCCATCTATCTTCTATCTTCGAAACTGTTGATGGCAGAATCATGAAATTTAGTACGTCAGCCATTCTTTTTATGTCTAATAATATGCGATAATAACAATTTAAAAATTTCATGTAGGAATGGGTCGATCTGTAGGGGGAAGGAGGGTAAAATCGCCCCAACTTCTTTGGGTGCGATTTTTTGCAACTTCAGCATGAAATTATGAAACTGATGCATTTTGCATAAAAAAGTTTCCTTTGTTTAATTTCCATAGGAAGCACCGTTCTCGAGTAAAATTTATTTTAAAATCACTTTACATGTCATAAAAATTCGTGATGAAATTACTAAAATACAGAATTTGAGGTAGGCTATGCCCAACCAGCATGCTTTTGAAATAACAATCAAGACATGTGACATGAAAATTCATGAAATTAGTGACAGAAGCATTGTAAATTTATTTAATTAATGGAAAAATACATAACTTACTTGAATTTGTCTGAGCGAATTTTTTTCACTCAAGAAATTGTTCTTCAATTTATGGAAAAATACTTATTAGATTTATCTGAGCGACACTTTTTTCACTCAAGTAATTCTTCAAAGTGGCTTCCATTTTGTTGAACGCATAGTCGGGCCGACGACTCATAGCTTGAGAAGCACGCAAAATTTGAAATTGGTTTATTCTTATTTATCTGTAGCGAATTCAAATACCCCCAAAAATAAAAGTCCAGTGGGTTCAGGTCGGGAGATCGGGGTGGCCAAGCTATAGGTCCATTACGACCGATCCACCGATTAGGGAAGTTTTCATTTAACCATGTTCTTACATTTCGCGCAGAATGAGCTGGCCCCCATCTTGTTGATACCGCATCATGTTTAGCAAATTCAAAGGAACATCTTCAAATAGTTCACCGTGATTATTTCGGAGGAAGTTCAAGTAACCATTGGCATCGAGGTGGTTGGGAAGTTCAATGGGACCAATTAGTTGACCACCTATTATTCCTGCCCAAAATCTCACTGAAAATTTTCGTTGGAAGCTTGTCCGTCGTACTACCCTGGGATTTGAACGCGGGTTCATCACTCCATAGGACGTCGGAAAAATCCACTGGCAGAACTGTACTCTCGGCAAAGAGTCACGAGGTTCTAAGTCATGCACTCGTCGGTGATGATATGTGGGTGAATTTCCTGCATCGCAACCATTCTTCCTATCATAAATAAGTCACATTTCATTTCAATTTCATAAATACCAACTCAAATCATCAATAATTACTGTTGCCCGCGGTATTTCCATCAATCTGGATATCGTTCTGACGTTTATTTGAGGATCATCTTCGAAATGGTTCAAGACATTTTCATCTGCGTGATTTTCTTGGTGCCTACCCTGTCTGCGTAGATGTCTAAAGTTGCCATTTCCCCCCCCCCAAAAATAAAAGTCCATTGGGTTCAGCTCGGGAGATCGGGGTGGCCAAGGTCCATTACGACCGATCCACCGACTAGGAAAGTTTTCATTTAACCATGTTCTTACATTTTGCGCAAAATGAGCTGACGCCCCATCATGTTGATACTAGATCATGTTTGGCAAATTAAAAGGAACATTTTCTAATAGTTCACCGTGATTATCTCGGAGGAAGTTCAAGTAACCATTGGCATCGAGGCGGTTGGGAAGTTTAATAGGACCAATTAGTTGACCAAATATTATTCCTGCCCATAATATCACTGAAAATCTTCGTTGGAAGCTTGTCCGTCATACTACCCTGGGATTTTCGTCAGATCTAATTCAACCCGAATTCGACCCTAATTTAATTCAGCCCTAAGAATCTGAATTGAGAGAACTCAATTCAGGAATTACGCATGGGCATACAGTAACATTCAGACTTGAGAGATCAAAAGTGTCATGTCATAATAATATAAATAATACGACAGCGTGAATATATTTTGAAATTATGAACTGTTCGGAAATATAGAGGTTTCTAATAGGAAAACTACTGCTTTGATAGTGATAGCCTCTTTATTAGCTGTAACATCAGTTGCAACAACAATCCACCATAAGAGATTCGCAGTGTGCCCTTTAACACATTAAGGCCCACATTTTTATGCAAAAGGGATTTTCGAACCAAATGTGAGTCAATGAACACTATTTTAGAGTTTTTTTGACAGAATATTCGCTGTTTTTCTTGTGAAAAAATGCTGACCTATAAATAGATCGCTGGGCGTAGGAATGGAAGATGATTGAGTATTTTGAATATCATTTTATTTCAGAATCGAAAATGTATTTTTCAATTTTTGCGATGAAAATTTGCAAAACAGGAAGTGCATAGAGTAACGTCAAATTTTTTACGACTTTTGCACGTTGGGTATTCACATCGTCGCTGATTTGACCTTTTCTCGAGAATATGGAACTTTTCATCCAATCTCACACTATTCAACACATGTGCCCTAGAAGTCGACGGTAATCTTAGTGGCCTTCAAATAGGTTATAGCAATTTGTCGCCTGAAGTCTTTTATAGTTATTGATTTTTCTCCATAGACCCTTCTATACATCAGAAAAGAGTTGACAATAGCCATATCTACGATTCTAGTAAACAAACAACAGTACCATTTCTTTCCTCTGACAGCTATGAAATGTTTCTCCAAGAGCCAGTCATGATGATCTACTCCACCAAAATCAAATCAAATCACTTTATTTCTTTTAGACAACACACAATTGTATAGAGAAAGAGTCAGGATGTATCAACAATAAAAAAATAACATAGCACGTTGAATAAAACTACGTAACATGTTTACACAATCTAAGTACATAATATAAAAAAATGGACAAAATATTGACTCAGCTTTATGATACTAAGAGTACATGAAAAATACAATTTACATTTAATAATTAAAATATGGAGTTAAAAGTATTCATTTAAACTATATAAACATTTCTCAACCAGATATTTCTTGAGATTTTTCTTGAAGGTGCGTTCATGTTTTAAGCTTTTGATAGAGAAGGGTAAGCTATTGAAAATCTTTGCGCCGATTCACCCATATATTGATTATAGTTATTGATGACTTTCGGTTGAACTAATTGTTGTTTTTCTCTTGAGTTTCTGTTCCTTCATGATACTGCAGCTTCTGGCTGTATTGTATCGAAATTCGTAGCCACAGAAACACAAAAAAAAATTAGTGTCATTCCATTTGACCAGCAGAATTTTGTTTCTACTATCAAACCTATAGTCATAAGATCCTCGAAGTAACTTCTTTAGTTAGCTGAACTGGACATTTTGCGGTCCTATTCTCTCTTATTGTTCCTGTCGCCCGAAATTGCATGTCTCTCAGTTTATCAAACAATGCGCGGCTACTAAAAAAATTATCGAAGTACACACAATGACTTAGGATTTTCGACCACAGACAACATCTTCAAAACTACTCTTGTGCCGAGAGGATCTGACTGTTCTTCATTTTCCTTACCGGTATAGAAGGAGCAACAAAAACAAAAACCATCTTCTCCACACATTGCCCAAAGCTTGTACCCAAACCGAATTGGTTTAGCTTTTTTAAACTGTTTGAGTGAGTGATGGCCATACTACCTCACAATCATC